AGGTACCTTTTGGGGTGACAGGGCCATAGCCAGAAAGAGATGTTCCACCTTTGGCACCATCATGGCTGTGCAGAAAGGAGGGGAAAGCTGTGCCCTGCATAAAGCACTGCCAAATACATACTTACATGCATATATACATATACATATGTATACGTGTATATGTATATGTGTGTATATATATGTATACATATGTGTGTGTGTGTGTGTATATATATTTATCTGTATATATATATAAAAATAAAATACCCCATCAGCTCCCTGCAGAGCAGTGAGGGTTTGCAGGGACTGCACTGCTGCCTTGATTTCACCTGCCCTGGGAAGGCAGGTTTCTGGGGAAACAGGTGATCCCACGATCTTATCATGCCCAGCTCTACAGGGGCTGCAGTGCTGCAGGGCCCAGGACAGCTTTGGAAGTTTTCAATATTCCCCCAGGGTCTCTCTGTCTCTCTGGGAGGAGGCAGAGGGAATGGGGATGTGGGTTCTGTGCATGTTGTGGTTCCTATGGGGAGGTGACACTGATGTCACTTGTCACTTTTCCTGGCTACTTTTTAGATTTAGACAAATCTTAAATGAACAATATTTGGCAAAGAAAGTGTTTTATTTCCCTTCTAGGAAGTTTGCTTTTCCCAGTGCAGAAGTCCCAAGGTGAGGTAGGGAAGTGACTCCATCCCAAGAACAGACACACAGGTATTGTGGAAAACACCTGAATATTATTCACTGTGTGAATCATACTCTGTTAACACAGTTAGGACACTCATTTAGAATAAACCAGGGCTAAATATGCAGGACACAGTGCTGGTCTGAGTCTGGAGATAGTGTACATGCTCTTTGCCACCATGGCTGTGTTCATCCCCTGATGCTGGAGGTTTTCATACACCTCCAGCAATTATTCACCAGCTTGCTGCCTGGGACCATGATCCCCCTGGGAATGGGATAACAAACTCAACAGGAGAAAGCTCTGGCCTGGCTCTTGCTCTGTGATCCTATAATGTATCCTGTCACGGTGGATTTGGTGCAGTAAAATACATAGAACAAGAAACTATTTCAGATTAACCTGACGAGAGAAATGCGTGGAGCGCTGCTGTCTCTGTGCTTGTTAACGTGCCAAATACAGCTTGTCCAGCTTGAAAAGGGAAAAATATGATCTGCTTAGAACTGAGCCTTAGTCCATTCCAGCACTGGGCTGTGGAGCAATCCTGGAAAGCCTCTCAGGGCTGCCAGGGTTCAGGGTGGGGTGAGGAATCTCTTGCTGGTGGTACTGAAGGTTGTGTGCCTCAAGTGCTGTGTGGGGGGAGTCCCAGTGTAGTTTGAGTTTGTGGTGGATGTTCCCTGCTGCAGGATGCCCACTGAGGGGAAAGGATGATGGTGATGGGGGATGCATGTATCCCACCAGAGCAGTTCCTCAGGAGACTCCTGAACACTTTGGTGTTTGGAAAAGTAGGGTTGTGGGAAGTTATTCCAGGGGGAAAATCAAAGGTGAAGAGAAAGAAATTTTCTGGAGCCAGAAACCAGCACCCTGTGAGGTGACATGGGACCATGGGGCTCCCTCACCCCTCGCTGTGAGCCTTTGCTGCCCAGGAGCAGTCCTCAGCAGCATGTGGAAATACTCCCTGAAACCCAGGAGGGTATCAGGCAGGCTCAAGGTTGGCTTGAATTTTTTGGGGACCATAGGCAGCCTGAGAATAGCCCACCACTCTCCACCTCCTCCCGTCCTTTCATGCCTGAATAATAAAAAACTTGGGAGCTGCATGCGTTAAAACCAAAATAAAACGTTTCCAGGCTCAGCCAGTAACAAGTATTGATGTCTGAGAGGAGCAGACAGCTGATGGAAATACTGACACACTTAAGTACTTGGAGCTGTGAACCACACAGAAAGTGAATTATTGCTGGGATGAGCCAAGCAGCTACAGAGATGAAGTGTCTTATCCTTATAAGTGAATACATACAAAAGCATTTCAGCGTTGCTGGGTCAACTGCTCCTCATTGTGGAAGGTGTTTCCAGCCAGTTGCTGCCTTTTTGCTCCTCTGAACAGCTTAAAAATGGTCTCTTTCTCTGTTTGCTAAGAGCAGTGATGATGCTGCAAGTGCTGATCTCCATCAGATGGAGATCTGGTGGCTCTTGGTGGTTCTCAAGTCATTACTGCTTTGGCTAAACTAATAGTTTGTTGAGTTTTAGTCATATCTCGGGAGCCCACAACCCAGACTGCCTCTTTCTCTCGAAGAGCCTGTTAAAGCTGCAAATGTGTTAATCCCTGCTCTGCTGGCAAGTGTCAGAGTGGGCTCCTGTAACCCCTAGGTGGGGTAACTCCCTGGTAATTTATACTTGTCATGGCTTAATCCTGTCTGGGAAGGCAGCCCCGCACTGCAGCTTGCTTACCCCAACTCTGAGGGTGGAGGAGAGAATTGGAAGAATAAAAGTGAGAAAACCACCCATAAAGGTGGTGATAAAGACAGTGTATTAAGAGAAGCAAGGGCTGTACACAGAAGCAAAGCAGAACAAGGAATTAGTTCTCCACTTCCCCAGGGCAGGTGTTCAGCCCTTCCCAGGACAGCTGGGCTCCCTCATAGGGTGACTGAGAAAGACAAATGCCACCATTCCAAAAAATCCCCTTCCTCCTTCTTCCCCCAGCTTTATTGCTGAGCATGATGTCATATGGTCTGGAGTGTCCCTTTGGTCACTTGGGCTCAGCTGTCATGGCTGTGTCCCCTCCCATTCTTTTATAGAGAGAGAGAGAGAGAGAGAGTTGGCTTCAGAGAGGGCAACTTCATGTCTCCTTCATGTCTTGGGGTCTCTGGTTGAAAAGGTGTTGGGAACACCAGGCACATGCAGCTGGAGGGCAGGAAGGAGATGCTGGACTCCAGCCACCCTGTGAGAGCTGTGAGCTTTGGTTCCCTGCTTTGAACTCCTGCTGTTTTAAGCATGGAAACAAGACTGTCTCTGCTTTCAGATTTATCTTTGTACTTGACAGCTATATAAGGAATGAGAGTAAAAATTGGTTCTCCAAGGTCACGGTTGGCAAAGTGCTTAAAACATTTGAGTGTCCATTTAAATGCTTTGTGGAGATCTCTAGTTTGGGTCCTGTTTATTTTTTAAGCCATAAGTACATAAACAGGAGTTTGAAAAACAGTTAACAGAAGTGAGATTAAGACCATTAGTAGTGTTCTCCTTTTAATTCACTGCTACATCTACCCTGAGATTACTCCCAGTCAGTACAAATGAAGTCACTAGAACCAAACTTTGCATTACAACATCTGCTGCAGACTGACTGGGGAGATTGAGGGTAGAGATGCCAAAATCAAGTTGTCAGAAACAAGAGGTGCTGCTTCATTCCACAGAAGAAGCTTGAGACCCCAGTCCATCTGCTGAGTCTTACTTTCCTCTTCGTTCCAGCATTCCCTGTGTACATTTTATAAAAATTCTTTGTTGCTTTGTCATTAACCCAGGTTCATTATGGTTTTTGAAAAAGAGTTATTTCCTTTTAGACAGCTAACCAGTACAGTTTGGCCTGTGCTTAGTCTGGGCTTGTTCCTGTTCAGTGGGTTTATAATACAAAAGCCAAAATATACAAGGCTTGATCGTCTGGCAAACAGCTTTGGTAAAACTGTGTTTTGTGTGGAGGGGTTGTGCAGTTGTGTGGGGTTTGTTTTCCAGTAGATTAAATTAGCAAGAGGTTCCATCAAAGTTAGACCAGTACTCAGACTTGCAAGTACAAAGCTGTCCACAGGGCTTTTTAATTTGAAGCCAAGGTTGGTACCAGTGAAAAAATCCTCATGGTCTAGAAGAAGGAAGAAAAAACTTGAACATTTAAACCGGAATATTTATTGACCATATTTTCCCCGGAGATATATCCCAGTTGGGAAGAGATTGTGGATAAACACTCAAATGTAGCAATGAGTCTGATAGCGAGGAGATTCTGCATGGAGCTCAGTCTTCTTTTTTGATTTACTAAAAGTATATGCTTTCAGGGAAAAAATCTATTAAAAGGGAAAAAAAACCAACACCCTAAACCTTTGACTGCATGAACGCCACAACATTCTGGCCAAACCATAAAATATTTGAGTTGGAATTGCTGCCATGGTATGAGGAAAGGTTCTTTGTAATCCCAGTGAGTGTGGGCTTTGCCTCCTGTGAGACAATACCTCCCATGAAATACCACCTTTTCAGGCCCCAGAATCCTTTCTTTCTACCCTTCAAGGCTATTGACTACAACATGTTTATATTTTAAATATTTACATTTATACAAGAATAAAAAGACGTGAGAAGAAGAGAAAAGCAATACATTTTTCTCTTGTAGCCTGCCCTAGCTCTTTCACCTCAAGGCAGAAGAGCAGCCTGGAGCCTGGAGCCAATGCTACATCCTCAGGCATTTGAAGCTGCACTACTTGCACTGGTTTCACCAGTGAAGTCATAATCTATGAATTCTGCACTTTGTTGCACACAGAATAAGTTCAGCAGAAAGCTAGTGGTTTCATTTATTTTAGCTATTCCAGCCTTTATCTTCTGTCCAGCCTTTCCTCCTGTTTTCTTCAGCCCACAGATGTTGCCTTTCGGTCATTCAGAGTCAGTAAGAAATTTGGTTTATCCCCAGTTCTGCTCCTTTCTGTCCTTGCTGGGTCTCATAGGGTTTGTGGACAGACTCTCAGCAATAAACAAAAGGAGGTTCAGAGACTGAGCTGTGAGCTTGCCAGCACACACTTATTTCTGCCAGATCACCCCCTCACCTGCAGCGCTGGGTGTTGCAGTGACCTTTCTGGAGGTCTGCGCTGTTTGTTGGGATGGTGGGGTGGACGTGTTTTGGTTGCAGCAGGGTCAAAGCCATCCTTGTAGGTCAGACCTGACTGTCTTTGCACAGCTACCTGCCTGTGGCAGGCAAGGGGGAAGTCTGGGCACATGGAAGCATCAGCAGAGGAAATACAAGATGTGTTTCTTTTTTTAAACACTCTTCTATCTCTGACACCTGCTCTTATTTATTCATCTCCATTTCTTTCTCCCTTTGCAGAATACTTGAGGAGCGAGACCGCCTTTCTGGAAGAGTTGGTGTTTGGAAATGGAGATACCATTGAACTTTCCTGTAACACCCAAGGCTCTTCTGTGTCTGTTTTCTGGTTTAAAGATGGTATTGGAATTGCACCTACCAACAGAACTCATATTGGACAAAAACTGTTGAAGATAATCAATGTATCATATGATGACTCAGGGCTGTACAGTTGCAAGCCAAGGCATTCCAACGAGGTCCTGGGAAACTTTACAGTCAGAGTTACAGGTACGTGCAGAAATGTTTCAGTGATTTCCTATTATTTTTTTCCTTTTTTTTTAAATTTTTGTCCTTTCACATGTTCAGCACAATTGGTGGTTTGGGGTGTTTGTGTGTCCTTGGAAGGTCTGTACCTCCCTGCTAACTCCTGACAGTGGCTAGACTGGCAAAACAAACCAATTGAAGAATGTTTGCATGCCCATACCAAATGCTGAACCTTGATGTTAATACTGAGAGAGGCTTAGAAAGGGTGCTGGTCAGATTAAACCTCAAATCCCCCTTAACACTCAAATAGATGCAATGCTACATGTGGCTTTGAAGTTTTTTGTGAGTCAATGAGTGAGCGAGCTGTGGCTCCTGGTGGTTAAATGATGTTTTCCATGTTACGTGACAAACCAGTGGCAAAATTGCACATAAGAGGTGGAAGTTCCTGAAGACTGTTTCCCTGCTGTAGCTGGTAAATCTCTACCCTCCATCACAGTTATCACAAATTGCTAGCTTGTTTTAGAGGTAGCTTATCTGTAAACTGTGTATATCCAAAATATGTGCTTCATCAAAGTTACTTACTGGGATTCATACATTGCAAACAAGTGCTGTGTTAGGAAAGCACATGCTGTCATTTGCTTGGCCATATTTTTAGTGATGAGGATGATAGATCAGAACCAGCTACAAGCTGTCCAAGCCTGGATCACTAAACACAGAGTGCCAGAAAAATCTGTTGTTTCCAGATAGCCAACCACCAACACAAAGGTCATTTTCATGATTTCAGGCTGGTGCATTGGTAGGTGGATCACTGTGAGCAGATAAAAACTCTCCTGATCACAAGTTAAAAGCCTCAATTTTCAGAAGAATTAGCCCCTTGGGGGTCTCAGGTTTTGAAAACTTTCATTTGCCCTTAAACTACTGGAGCTTTTTCAAGAATCCTTGAATAGTAGGTCCTTTCTCCAAAAGTTGAGTTCCCTCAAAAAGTTAAGAGTCTCTCTCTGAAAACCAAACACAGAGATGTTTGTAATTGTGAATCACATCCACTCCATAGAGAACTTTCTTGTGCAATAGGATTTTGTGTGAGAGGAAACCATCATGAGAAGAAAAGCTTGTTTCACCAAGCCTTCAGCAACATCTGCTTTTTATTGAGCGTTACTGGAGATTGCTGTGAATGCTTCAAGGTCATATCAATTAAATGGTTAAAGAAGTATTTGGCCCTTGAAAGGCTTTCTTTAACTAGGTATGATTATTGGAACTATCCAGCAAACTGCATGTTGTTAGAAATGTTACTCTCTCTTTTCTTCCTAAGTGACACGAAAATGCTTTTGAGTTCAAGGGGCAGCAGGGGAGGCAGGAGAGGGCAGCTGGTTACATGCTCAAATGAAACAGCTGCCAGCCCCAAAAGTTGGTAAAGTGAGAAATTGTTTTTAATAGTGGAAGGACTGATAATCCTCTGCTTTTAAAAAGTTTAAGCCCCTGTATTTTTCCTCTTCACTAATAATAGCTAATAACAGCTTAAGAACTAGCGAGTAACCTGAACCTGCTTTCTGACAACATTATGAGTCTTTGATTCTATTAGCCCACTGTCATTACCACCAAAGTGCTGGTAATGTGGGAGCCTCCTTTTTAGCTGTCAGCAGCACTTGTTTTAAACTTTGAAGCCCTGCTTTATGTGGCAATAGCGGCACCTCTCATTTACTCAGATATTTCTTTATAATTAGTATTGATTGCTCAGCGTGGCACTGCAGAGATGAGATTGTGATTGGAGATTTGTGGTTTGTGTCCCCAGTTCTTAAAGGTAATGCCAGCAATTAGCTCAGGTATCTGGTCAGGTGTTCATGTGTTGCAGTGTGTTGTATATTCATGTGGGTATCTGATGTTTGGGGCTGGAGTTGTTCTCTGCATTAAACTGGTTTAAAGCTGTACTAACAGCCTGCAATTGCTCTGATCTCTGCTCTTAAGTAAGCAAAACTAGGTTAGGTGTGCTGGAATAGCTGATCCACACACAAGTTCCATTTTGAGACTGCTTCCATGTCCTAGGGGCATATGAGGATTTTCCTACACAGAGCCATGAGATTTGAGTCTGCAACAAACTGACTGTGCTGCAGTGGCTCTGTCTGTGTACAGGGGGATGTTTGATGCTGGAAGCAGAGCAAGTAGGTGCTGGAGCTGGCATTCAAGGGCTGAGAACCAGGCTGATTAATAGCAGGATTTGATCTCTTTAAAATTCTTCCCTTGACAGACAAGGGCTTGAGTGTTTTGCTAGTTTACAAAAAGAAACATACTGTCCCCTTAAAACCTGAGCACTTGGAAAGGATCGTGTAGAGGCTGCATGCCCAAACTGATATCCAGCCCTGTTGGCAGAAACTCTATTTCTGCAACCATTTCATGCACAAAACAGCCTTTGGATTTAGTGGCTGAGCAGCACCCCTGTGATGAGCATGGACTGCAGGCTGATACCAGCAGAGCTTTCAAAATACCCAAGGCCAAGCATTACAAAACAGGTGACTGAACTAATTAAGTCCCTTTTCATTCATAATTAAAGCCCTTTTGAGCAGTTCTTGCCAATACTTCAACAACTTCTGCTAAAGATTACTGTTTTAGTAAATGGTAAACAAATAGCTTATAATTTTTAGTCACCTTTTGAAAAAGGTGATGTTTTAGTAACTTGAATAGGACAGTAGCTGTGAATATGGGATATTTGGTCTTAAATCTGCACTTCTCATCTTAAAAACAAGCAAAGTTAAAAGACCTCCCTCAACCTTGTGAAAATGATTTTGAATTAGTTTAAAAATTGATTCTACTCCTCTGGTCATGATGGAGTCATTGGAAAACAGAGGTAAACTATAATCATGTGTTAATATATGGGTAACCAAATCTGAGAGCTGAGAAGGTGCTGATTTCTCCATCGATGCTGGTGGGGATTTGGCTCAGTTTCTGCCTTCGCCAGGACTTGAGTAAACCTGCTGGATCAGCCAGAACACCTAAACATCCACTTCACTTTCAGCAAGCCCTATGGCGTTTCCCTAGTTCTGCTGCCAGCAGGACCTCAACTGTGGATTTGCAGTTAGGTACGTGCTTGAAGTCGTCCTTGAGGCTTTGCCAAGGAGAAGGTGCAAAGCACGATGAGCCCCTGCAGTCTGAGGCAGGGAGGTGTTTCCTGTGTTGTTTCTGTGGATGGTGAAAATGCCTGGAAGGCCCTTCTAGATTCTGCAGGGAAGAACTATTTGTTGTTACCTTTCCTTCTTTCTCCTTCCTTTTATCCCCTTCCCACCTATTTTTACCTCTACTGTGCTGGTCAGAAGACAGTAGAAAACTCAAGTGCATCTTGCAGTGGAGAATGTTCTGCCTGGCTTGATCTAAAGCAGCTCTTTGCATTTCTGGCCACATGTTGAACACTCATAATGTTTCCTGTTTTCTGGTGTTTAAGGCCAAGCTCTCTTATACTGTCTCAGAACATAAAGGCTGCTGGATTGTTAGCATTCTGCCTTAATTTAAAAGAAAAATTCCTGGAAATTATGTAACATCAGTGATGCTAAATCTTCCAGGTGCTGAAGTGTACTAAACTAAACTGTGTAAACCTAAATCAAACACTAAGCTGCTGTTTGATAATGGCATTTACATTTACAGTAGTCACTTGATGGGGGGAAGAGGGACTGAGCCTTCATTGTAGACAGCTTGGAGAAGGTGAAATGCCAGACCACATTAAAAGAAACAGTTCAGAATGTTTTGGAGAGGTACAGATGGAAAATTTCCACCTGTTTACCTGTATTGAGTTACAGCCTTGAGGTGCCTCTGTGGGAGGAGTATAACTAAGGGGAACTGGTTCATGGAATAGCTGTCAAAATGTTGATGGAGAGAGGTTTGATTGCAAGAAGTTCAAAAGTTTTGGTCCTGGTGTTTGAACAAGGAGTTAATGAAGGGAGTTGTGGCAGAGGGATATTGAGTTAAAAGAAAAATGCAGGGAAAGTGAATTAGAAATGCTGACCTGTTGTTTTGAGACATGGTAAAATAAAAAGTCTTCAGAGTGAATGCTAGACAGAAGAAAAAAAACAAACCAGTCAGACAGCTTGTTCTGCAGAAATAAATTTTCCAGTTTAGAATTCCTTTTGTATTTATGAGAAAGAGAACATTTCACACAGGGAGAAGTATTTGACATTGGACCACGTTTTCAGAGCACTCTCTCCCAGCTGAGACAGCTCCTGTCCAGTTGGGCTGGTGGAGCTGCAGGGAAGGGTGAGCTGTCACTTGCATGTCCCTTGAGTGACACCAACAGCCTCATCCAGCACGGTGTCCCCACGTGCAGTCCTCTTTCTGCTTCACTTCTTTCTTGTCTCTTTCTTTCCAGATTCCCCTTCGTCAGGTGATGATGAGGATGACGATGATGAGTCAGAAGATACAGGTAATTCATTTTTCTGGGATACAGGGGCCTTCTTTGCAGAAGCTGTGGCTCCCAAGCAGTGCAGCTCATCTGGGTGTTCACATAGTCACACAGCAGCTTTGTGTTGAAATCAGTGACCTTAGGATGGAGCCACGATGAAATTTATCTAAAAATTTAGGAACAGCTCCCAGAGTGGTATTGCTGTTGTGGAATCCTCCAGCAGCAGTACTGTATTTTGAAGACTTGATGCTGAGAATCTGAACAGATGAGTAGTTACAAATTCTCCTTTCATGTAAATCCAGACAAGCCCACTTACTATGTATATATATTTTTTTTTTACTGCACTGATGTTACACCAGTTTTATACCATTTCAAACCTTGACTGCTTTACTTTTAACTATTCTGATTCTGGTCCTTACTAGTGTCTTGACAGGAGTCAGAGTACAAAACATACGCTAGCCAAGGGCCAAATTTACTGATGGCATAAGTGAGAGCAACCTCTTTGGCTTTACTGCCTTTTTCTTTCACTCCTGTGAGGAGGAGAGTCCCAGGACAGTGCATGGTGCTTTCACAGTGAATCTCTTTCAGTCCCATTGCTGCTTTCTTTAAGTGCAGTAGCATTAATCAGGATCATTACAGGCTTCAGAGGTGTTAGTGCTGGGTTTTATTCTGCTCTTTATACTTCTGCAGAGTGAGCTGCCCATGTGTATGCATTTTAAATAAATAGATGTCTTTGCATTTGAACTCCCAATCAGCTATGTACATTGGCAGAAGTTCAACATGACTGGAAAATCTCTCCTGCCCGTAACATTGCACATGCAGGACTATTTCAAACAGGTCTGCAATAAGTTAATACTGCTGTGTGGACAGTAATGGTGAGTTACAGTGCCAGGAGACCCATCAGCAGCAATTAGTGGTTTTCTGATAGCTTCTAATTAGGGGCCAAATCCTGCCAGGTGACAGGCACCTTCACAGAGGTACTCAGGGCTCCTGGTACCTGCTGAAGAATGGTACAGACTTAGGGAAGGTCTGGTTTGGTCAGGATTTTTTTTCTGCTGCAGAGCAGCTTCTGGGGAGCACAACTGATTGTTCTGTACGTTTTTTAATGTGGTTTATAGAGAACTCAATCTCTTAGCAACAGGTATCACAAAACATCAGCTGGCTTATGGTACAGAAAGACTTTTTTCTTCACTGAAAAGGAAAACACACATTTCACCACATGTATTTATAGCCTGTTTTCTGGGTCTTCTTGACTTTGAGGCTGTCTCTGGTTTTAGACCTAAAGGTAATGGCTGGCTTTGCTTAAAGGTCTCGTTATAAAAAGTTGGATTATCTTCTGCTTTAAAAATGGTTGATTAGCTTAATGTGTCAGTGCAGTGAAACCTCGCAGCGTTTTGTGACATGGGTCTGCTTTGTGTTGCTTTCTTTGATGTCAGATTCTCCACTTAACCCACACAGATCTCCTGAGTCTGGGGAGCTGTGTTGTTTACCCTGGTACCACCACTGGCAGGACATCCCAGCAGGAACAGGGGCTGAAGGACCAAAGCAAGCAGGCACACATGGTGTAGCTGTGCCATGTTCTGTGAACAACCCAAAGACCTAAGTCCTCTATCTCCTGTGGCAAAAATGTGCCCTACTAGTGGGGTATATGAGCCCCTGCTCAGGCATCACACACAGCTGTGGTCAATAGTTGGAGGAGAAAAGGCAAAAAATGCTTTAATGCAAAATAAAAATACCACAGACTCATAGGATGGTTAGGGTTGGAAGCGACCTTAAAGGTAACTAGTCACTATAACTGATAGTGTCTCATATTTAGGGGGAGGCAGTCCATCCTGCACTGGCTCAGTGAGTGTTGCCACACTGCATATCACTGAATAAAATCCTTTTGTCCTGACCCCTTGTGATGATAAGTTACTTTCCTGGCTTGTGTTACTCAACAGAGTTTCTCATCCTCACATAGTGGAGAGTTTGGAAAGCTGATTCCAATAGCATCATGAGTTTGAAGCCAATCTTGTTAATTTTAAGGGTTGGAAATACCAAATTCCATGTGGAGGGCCCTGCTCTGCTCACTCTCAGCTTCCTCTCTGATAGGCAGTGCAGAAACAGAGCATCCTTCAGGGATGGGCAGCAGAAAAGAATAAGGAGAAACTTCTGCAGCTTCAGATCAGCTCGTTTCTAGCAGCCTTGTCACAAGCCGTGATCCGCCTTTGCAGAAAGAGGCTTTCTAATACCTCTGTTCTCTACAGCTGTTTTTCCTGGCCCCGAAACAAAAACAAAACTCCCTTTTCACACACTGTGCTTCTGCCCCAGTGCTCCCTACCCCTCTTGTATCTGTTTGTTTGGAGCCCCCGCTGCGCAGCCCCAGCACCTTCAAAGAGCCCCCATAATCTCCAATTAAATCTGGCTCTGTCCTCGGAGGCGTCAGCTGGGGAAATTACACAATTAGGGGTTGATTCTGTCTGCCACAGAATTTGGTGGCAGCTCCTAATTGCTAAATGAGTGCTTGGCTGTATTAATTATTCCAAGTATTGCTCTCAGGTTTTTTTTTAATTGGTCATTCCAGTTGGATGGGTGGCCGGTGTCTTTGACGAACAAAATGGACCGTCAGGCTTAGTGTTTGATGATGGGAAAGGGCTGGTGATAATGTTTGGGGGTCCCTTTTTTTTTTCACACCTGCACATGCAAAACCATTGCTGGTAATTAATTTACAGAGAGCGGGTCTAGAAAATTTTCCTGTCTTTCATCCTTCTTCTTTTCCCGCTCCCCAAACTCTCTGGAGCTTTGCAAGCTTTGCTTGAAAGGAAGAGTTAGCAACATTTTCAGGCCCTTAAAAAGTGGTAATGAAGGGACTCAGAGGGCAGAGCAAAGCAAAAGCAGGGATGTTTTGTTCACTGCTCCTGCAAGTGAGAACAAAGGCGCTGTTTTCAATGTGTAGACGCTTTCTTCCAGTTCCAGTTTGACTTGAGAGCAATGCCCTATTTGAGTCTTGGCACAATAATCCAGGGGTGCCCAGCCCTGGCAAGCCCTGAATCTTACAGAAGAGCACCGAAACAAGGGAAAGCACTCAGCGAAGAAGTGGTGTCTAATTGCAGCAGGCAGGAGTGAATCCTGCTTTTGCTCCATATGGAGAATATCCCCAGCTGGAAACTTTCCTGGGCTCCATCTTGCTCCTCCCTGATGTCTGATAGCAAAATCCCCCTTGGCTTCAGTGACTACATTTGCAGCCAGTGGGTTGATGGATCTCCTGTGAAATTCAAACTCATCTTTTGAATGAAAAAATGTGATAAAATGTCACCCTGCAGCACATGCAGATGTTGTGTAAAAGGGAAGACCCCCAAAAAGCAAAAGGAGGAGCATGGTCCTGACCAGGTGACCATGTGATGTAATTACACCTCTGTGCCTAGATGATTGTCACCAACACCGTAAAATGGGATTTCTTGTGGGCAGATATGTTAATTAAACAACAGGACAGGTTATTTGGCTGCCCTCTGTGGCGGTGTCAAAAGGGGACTTTTCCATCTGTGCCTGGCCTTTGCCATACCTCTCCCCTGTAGCCCTGTTAACCTCTTGTAACATCCCCAGAAAATAAAGATGCATTGCCAAAAGGAGGCATTTGGCCAGAAAATGTCCCAGGCTTCAGAAACCAAGGAGCAGCATGGGTTTCTGGAGCCCTCTCCTCTCCAGCCTTCCCAACACCACCCCAAGTGTCCTCTGCATTCACTCCCCTGTTGCTGCCTGGGGATCTGCCCAGTCTTTGCTTGGTTTCTGCCCTTCCCTCGTGCTAGAACAGCATCATCCTTTTACCATCAAGACCTGTTCTTTCTTTAGCTGTTGCACCCTCCCTTCTAACATTTTGTGGAATATTTCCCATTTTTGTGCAGTTCTGCCATCTGGAACAGTAGATGGCTGCATGATGTCCCATTTTAGCTTACTTTATCACGTAGTACTTCAGGCCTCCTGGATGTGCTGTGTGTTCACAGCAGAGTTGGTAGCTGGGATTTTCCAGAGCTATGGGAATTGTGGGGATTCCTCCTTTTGCTCTTGTTTGTGCCAGCCATGCTCCTGCTGGATCCTGGCAAGAAGAGGGCCTTAAGCAGTTTCGTTATTTGAAAGATGAGGCGTACGCGAGATGTGCGAGCACAGATCCCTCTGATACGTGGGGCTGACTCTGATAGGCATCACACTGTTGTGCAAGGCAGGCTGAGGGCAGATGCAAACCCTCAGTACTGGATTTCCCTGCCCTGAGATGGTGTTGCTGAGGCAACTGTGTCCAGCCATCCCACTGCAGAGGTGGAAAGGCAGAGGGGACGTGAGGGGTGCCCAGTGGGGCTGTCTCTAGCACGTGGAGGGGCATCCTGGATGGAGCTCCTGGTCTCCAATTCCTCATGGACTTTGCAAAGTGGAGAAAACATGGGGAAAGTGTTGGCAGGTGCTAAAAACCAGTGGGTGCATGGATTGCCTTGGCTGAGCTGTATGACCTTTCCTGCAATATCCTTGTAGTTGGAATGCTGCAGGGAGCCTGCATGGGGGAACACCAAGGTGGGGTCAATCTCTGACTTAGTTGGCAGGTGCTAAAAACCAGTGGGTGCATGGATTGCCTTGGCTGAGCTGTATGACCTTTCCTGCAATGTCCTTGGAGTTGGAATGCAGCAGGGAGCCTGCATGGGGGACACTGGGGACTTACACCAAGGTGGGGGTCAATCTCTGACTTGCTGGAGTTGTAATGGGATGGGTATCATGCAGCCAAATGCTTCAGGGATAAGGAGTGCTGGAGAAAGGGAGCAGCTCCCATGCATCTCAAAGGCATGCAGCAAGAGGGAAAACTTTGTACACATTTGTCATTAAGCAGAAAGGGAATTACAGGGGCTTCAGAGTAGCACTGAGATGGGGCTGTGATGCTGGCTGGTGTTTCTGAGCATTGTCACCACTGCAGGAGAAGCCAGCAGCAAAGGCTGTCTGCCCTAACATCTTTGGTGCCATCGTGTTCTCTGTTCTCCAAGGCAGTTCTTGGAGGACCAGTGCCTTCAGTTTGTCTTGGCCAGAAGCACACTTACCTCTGCAACAGGTGCTCCATGCCTGTGAGATTTTCCTACCCAGCTGGAGGAGATGCCATTTACACTCCTTGCCCTCCTTCTTGCTCTTTTGCAGCCCAGACACTGCCTGCCCCCATCTCCCTTTGCCCTTGGTGTGCAGCACAGATCTGGGGGGCTGGATGTGGCCCTGGTGTGGCAGGGGAAGCACAACATGTGCAGCTCTGCAGAGTTGCCTTAAGCAGAAATGAAAGCTTGGGAGGCTTTTTTTAAAAACTTTTTCTTTCTTCCCAGTATAATGAGTTTGCCGCTGCTGCTGCCTTAATTTGGAGTTAATATGTAATGTTTGTAACGCAGCCAAGGAACGTAGCTGTACTTGAGGCAGATTATAAAAAGTATCTCATGCTAACACTGGTGTTTTAAAATTTATCCCTGTTCAAAGGTAACATGAATCCTTAAAACTAAAATCACTTGTACTTAAAGAACATAAACACGATAAACCAGTTTGGCACTGGCGCTTTTTTTTCTTTCCTTCCCTTAAGGAGGATACACTACATTTGTACTCGCTGAGGAGGAACATTTTCCAGTGCACTCAGCTCATACGTTTTCTCTGCTCCCTTGCTGGCCCATCAACATCCTTTTACAGTTCTGACATCTTTCTGCTGTTTATGCTTCTTGGCTACTAATGTCCCAAAGGTACATCTGTATCTTTTTACTCACTGCGGCCAGATTCCCATCCTGATCTGGGATAACTCTACTTGTTGATTTGAAAGGAGCCACTTTAGATTTATACTGGCATTACCAAGACAAGAACCTGGTCGTGAACCTTTCATCACAAAACTGAAATGCAAACACCCTCTCTATGTCAATGAGAGTCATTTAGCTGGAAAGCGTTTCTGTGTCATTTATCTTAACAGCAGCAGGTAGCAATTTAACTGTCAATCTGCACATGCCAAAGACTCCTCAAATGCATCTGCTCACCAGCTGATATCTTCTGCTGCAGAAAGGGGCCTGTTCAGCTTGGTTTTTCCTTTCTCAGGTGTCCCCTTCTGGACCCGGCCAGATAAGATGGAGAAGAAGCTGCTGGCAGTTCCTGCCGCCAACACCGTTCGCTTCCGATGTCCGGCGGGTGGAAACCCAACTCCTTCCATCTACTGGCTGAAAAATGGCAAGGAGTTCAAAGGGGAGCACAGGATTGGGGGCATTAAGGTAAGGCTTTGGTCCGGATCTCAATTTTTTGTTATTTCTACCAACAAGAAAATTGTATTGTGTGGTGATTAACATGGGTAGTTTTAAGAGCACTGTCCTGAGTGTGTAGAAATGGAGGTGGTTCTTGCAGTCTTGGGAATTGCTTGGCACCAAAAGTGTTAAAAAGGACTGCTGTCCTTTGGGATCAAAGGCTAATTCCCTCTGAGTTTGTCTATAGTGTTCATTCAGGGAGTAGGTAAAAATCGGGCTGCGTTTGTGGTTGCATTGTGAACAGGGATGAAAAAGCAGGAGCAGAAACTTCTGTCCTAATTTCTGGACATGAGCCCAGTACATTGAGATGTGTTGGACCAAGCCATAGCTGCTCCCAGCTCTCAAAGAAAACCTCTTCAGTGTCCTTTGAAGGTATAGGAAAGACCTCACCAAAGAGCTGGATCATCATGCTGGTAGTCGTTAACATTCTTGTGGTATAAATCACTGACCCTTGGTCAAGTGTTGGATTCCCTTGTAGCCAGAGTAATAGCATCTGCTCCTTGGCTGCTTTCTTCTTCCTGCTTCCTTTCTACCATGAGGTGTTCTGGAAAATGCTCTGGCTCATGTCTACAGATAGAGCTCAGGGACACAAAACTCCACTGCAGTCAAATTATTTAATTAACCAGAAGTCTCTGTGCTCCTTTATACAATGAATTGTGGCAGGATTTTAAAAGAAAAATCAGCTTTTCTCACATTTTGCTACTGTTGTTATTACTTTGTCCCCTTGAGGTCACAATCAGACTCTTTTTTTTTTTTTCTGGTTTTATTTGGGGACAATAAAACTGCTGCAGCTGATTATAGCAAAATCATCATAGCAGGAAGGACTCTTGAGCAGCGACTTTTGCCTGCACTCTGCCAGCCCTGACATATCCCTGGACTCTGCTGCTAAGGGGAAAAGGTGCCTTGTAGGAAGGCACCTTCATCAGAACTCGGAATAGCTGTGTGCTGATGCCTGCCACATCCGTAGTGTTTTGAAAGGGGACTGGGCATGCAAAGCGTGCCATGCTCCAGAAACCAGAGAAGGATTCAGAAAAAGTCCCCCCTCCCCACAGTTTTGGGCTGTTTCTTTCCTGTTAGCTCAGACCTGTTCCTGAAAGAGCCTTTTGTGATGGCTTCAGTGAAGCCTTTAAAGCTCCTTCCTCAGTCCTGTCTCTGCTCCAGTCTGGACGAGGCTGAGAACACGCTCGGGTTTGGATCTTCTGAAAAGCCATGGAGGGTAAAGAAGTGGGAAGGCAACTCCTGGGGGTAGACTGCTCTTCAGCAGATGACATTCAGAAAGCACAAGCATCTTTTACTAATTGCAGGCTGTAAGGATCATCCTGAAGTGTTTTCAGGCTTGCGTGCGCCATTCCAACAGCTTTTTACTAAACTGTGTCACATCAGCTGCACTAAATTATGCCTGCAGAAGAAAAAATCTGAAGCTGAAAGCAATTCCCCTACCCACTTTCCAGTAGTTTTAATCTATCTTTGAGTTTAAATTGACACGTTTCATCCTCTGAAACACAGTAGTGAGTCTTTGGCATCACTGTGCTTTGTTTCTCTGGGGGCACCTTCAGCAACAAGTCAATGCTTAAAAGAGCTATTGAAGGCAATGTCAGGACAATTTCAGGAAGATTGGTTTAAGCTCTCTGTCTAGGTGTAGTTCTTTGTCCCATTCTTGATATAAAGACATCATTCTCTGTAATTTTCCTTCCTTTATTTGCTTGCTTTTGGTCATGAGCCACAGTTAGATATAAGTAATCTAGTGTAAATCTCATCCAGTGTAAATATACTGATAGATATCAACTGAGATTTGAACCAGAAAAGGGGATTGAAAACCTGCTCGGTATCTCATGTATTTGAGATTTAAATTCCCTTTTACAACTTAACTTCATAACAGGATTAGGCAGCTTGAAAAGAAGGGGCAAGATCCAGATTTGGCAGAGTTTGGTTGGTTTGCTTCATCTCGAGATCTGGTCTTAACCCAGAAATCCTTGGGCTGGGAATGTTCTCGTTTGTTTTCAGTGTGTGAAAGACTTTTAATGTTGATTGTGAGAAGCCTGTTGTCAGCAAATGAAAGCTGACCACTCTTCCACATCTGCCCCTTGCACATGGCATTTAGACCCGTGAGACTGGGCCAGTGTAAAGCCTGCAAGGGAGAAGGGTGAGTGTTGAAAACATGATAGGCAGGCTAACCTAGTTATATTACAGTTCATCTTTAACTGGTAAAGAAAGGAAATTCATATGACTTATCATATGAAATTTCCCAGAGAGCATTAATGGTTAAATCCGTGTTGGAATCTCTAATATCGTAAGCCTGTGTGTGTTAAATGACCCTAGAAGGGAAGATTGAGGGGGAGGGGAGATGGAGGATTATCCCTTCCCCAGACCATTGCACTGACTTGCATACCAGTCTGGCAAACACGAGGTTCCAAGTGTGTCTGTAAATGTTTGTTTCACACGGAGCCAAGAATGACAACACCAAATAAACCAGAGGGATTTCCAGTATCTCACCCACTTGATTAATGCCTGCACTAAGTCACTTCATGTTTTAGTGTTTTATCAAGTGCAGTGACTATCCTAACATGAGAATTACTCTTTTGCCAAAGGTTTTCAAAACTAAATTGTCTTCCTAAGTTTCCAAACAAGTTCTGCCCCATGAGTCTGTGCCCCCAGGTTCTTCTCTATGCAGAGTACAAAGTTCCCATCACAAACCTGATGAAGTTTTTGAGAGTGTCATAGAAATGTCTTTGAAAGTGCATCCTTTGTAAAACACCTAATTTGGACCTGGTTTTAGAATATAGGTCAGACTAGGGAGTCATCCATGTGTCTGGAGCCCCATTTCCTTGGAGCTGCTGTTGGGGTTCCAGATGCAAACATTTTGCAATGCTGAGAAGCGTATTTAAAGAAGCCTTTAGACACAACCATGAGACAAGCCAGTATGGAAATGAGCCACTGAGCAGCCACAAATTTGCATTGAAACTTCCGTGACGGTCTGGTGTGTTCAGCTGTGGGCTCGGGGTCCGGGCTCTCTGTTCTCAGAGCTTCTCTTACTCTGTAATTGCCACACGGTTACAGAGATGCAGCAAGGGGAATGTGGCTTTACAAAAGGTGAGATGTTGGTTCTGCTCCTTCATTGAGCTCCTCCATTTGTGCCATCCTGGGTGGGCAGAGGTGCAGTCAGAGCTGATCAGACATCTGCCACAGCTGAGATGTCTGTACCAAATGTTTGGTCACAGCCTGCTGTTACCCATACTCTGAAATGAAAAGAAATGCCATATTCAGCGTTCTCTGAAAAATTGGGTGCTCAGCAGTGCTGTTTTCAGGGCTGCAGAGGTCTACAAATTGTTAAAATGACATTTGCTTGCTTATCTTGCAACTAAGCTGTCTAGTCCTATGTTTTTAAACCTGCTCTTTGCAAAGTTCTGGCTTTGATTGCAGCTTGGCCCTCTTAGGGAAAGCATGTGGATGCAATTTATGTGTAGCAAAAGAGGTTAAATGACTTCATATTTGAGTTCACCTGCTGCAGCAAGAAATCTCCAGGAGCAATTACACCCTTGTTTTTTCCATCAGCCCCTGACATTCTATAGTGCAGCATTATTGTAAATCTCCTATTTCTGTGTCCTTGGGGTCACCTTCAAAATGTTTAATAAAGTTAAATGTTCTGCTTTGGGCGGCAGAAGGCATCAAATTAATATCCAGAGATTTGGAGAGCTTTCATATGCTATGCACCCTGAAGTCATCTTTGTTACTGTTGGTTGCTTTCTGTATTAATTCAAGATTAGCTTTCCATATCCATTATTTCCTTTATAATCATTAGAAACAAACATTCTAGCTGAGATCACAGGGCAGCAGGTCAGGGTGGAGGCATGGGTTGTGCTTTCCCTCCTGCTACTGAACCACCATCAGCTCTGGACATGAGCCACATCCAGAAAACCAACTAGTATAAAACTCAGTGCCAAAATAGAAGGGCTGGCCAAGCATCTTAGGGGACCAGATTTGAGGCTGGACTTGTTTGCTCCTGTTTTTTAGAGGGAATTTAGGGGACTAACTCAGTTGGAGAAATCTGTTTCTGTTCAGACAAATGCCATAACCTGTTGTCTCCATAGCACACACATTTTAAAATATAGATCAGAATATTAAAATATATAAAATACATAAAATATAGATCCTATGTGATGCCTGCTGAAGTCATTATTCTAGTGAGGAGTGCCACATTCTGTTGTCAGCTGGCTTTGTTATTGTGATTATTGTGGAAACATATAGAAGTCCCCACTGAAATCTCAATATGTTCCGTTGTGTTGCGTCATTTTTGCATTGGTCTTAATGTCTTTTCTCATTAAGACTTAACAGAATTCACAGAATTACTAGGTTGGAAGAGACCTTAAAGATCATCGAGTCCAACCCACCCCCAACACCTCAACAAAACCATGGCATCAAGTGCCACATCCAGTCTTTTCTTAAACACATCCAGGGATGGTGACTCCACCACCTCCCCGGGCAGACCATTCCAGAACTTCATTACTCTTCCCATGAAAAACTTTTTCCTTTTCCTTTAATTACCCTTGTAAATGGGTGCTTGTGATGTTCAGGCTTCCTCTGGGGTCCAAGTGTGTGGAAGCTCAGTGGTTTTTCATTGGTTTGGAAGGCCTGGTGACGGTGGTGCTTGACCAGGACCTTGATGTGTTGGTTTCTTCTCCTAGCTGCGACACCAGCAGTGGAGCCTGGTGATGGAGAGCGTTGTGCCGTCAGACCGAGGGAATTACACCTGCGTTGTGGAGAACAAATATGGCAACATCAGGCACACCTACCAGCTGGATGTGCTAGGTGAGATCCCACTGCTTTCCCTCAACACCTGATCTGTGGCGGTGTGGAATAGCTGCGCGGTAGGATATGGGAAGCAGGAGCTTGGTTTCTTTCCCAAAGTGTTGGATCATGTGTCTACTAAAACCAACAACAAGCTTCTTTTTGGCCAACAATTCGGGCTTGCATCTGTGATGAGAAAATTACTTAGCAGGTCTGCAGAGGGCCCAGAGGAGGAATGGCAGGGCTGAAATGCCCCCTCCTTTCCCAGGTGGTTCTTCCTCGTCTGGCTTGAGAAGCCCTGGGTAGAGCAGTGATCAGGAACCTGAGGGGGACAAACCTAATTTGTACCCTTTCCCCTGAAAAGATTAATGTTTCAGAGGAGAATACTTGCTGGGAGAAAAATAAGACAAGTAAATTAGGATTTCTCCTCTTTTCTGTTTTCCAGAAAGGTCGCCCCACCGACCAATCCTGCAAGCAGGGCTCCCTGCCAACCAGACTGTGGTGGTAGGGAGCAATGTGGAATTTCACTGCAAGGTCTACAGCGATGCCCAGCCTCACATCCAGTGGCTGAAACACGTGGAAGTCAATGGCAGCAAATATGGACCCGATGGAACCCCGTATGTCACAGTGCTGAAGGTTGGTACTCGCTCCTCCTTCTCACCCTCAGGGCAGTCCTTCTGTGAGCCTGCCCAGAGGATTACTCTTCTTTTTGGAGGAGATACAGCAAAAATGTCCTGAAATCGATATTCCAAACTCTTCTGTTTGCCAGAGATAACATTACTACTGTGGTGGCACAGATAAGCAAAGTTGTAGGAGCTGAGGCAATCGTGAGAAATGCAGCATAATGAAAGAGCTGTCAGATTGCATTTAACCTAAAATTGTAAAAATACCCTTTTTTTTACAGCTTCAATGGAGGTATTCTCAGGGTTTATTAAACTAAAAGTCTCCCAACTAAAACACATTCTTCCAAGTAAGCACATTGCAGCATGCACATACCAAATAACGCTGAACTACCAGCACCTGAGAGCCAACATAATCTTGTTCCAGCCACTAAATTTGTGAACAGTGCTGTTACCAATGCTCAGAAAAGCTTTTTTTTTTTTTTAATTTTTTTTTTTAAATTGAGCAAAAAGTACATAGTAAGACATTACTTTGCTAAAATGCTTTCTTGAAAGGCAGCTTTCAGATTACAGCCCTAACAAAGCCAGGGGATTTGGCTCCCCGCAACTAATATAAATATAAAAGTAGGGGATAGGGAGTGAGGAGCACATTGGACTTCTAAAATACTTAAAAAAATAGTTAAAGGCATCATATGGTGGTGTTTCTTAAAATATGTGGGGCCAAATGGAGTTTTTCTGGCTCTGCAGTTAGTGCTGAAAGCAGATTTTGTCTCTGCAGCTTCAAGCTGAGGCTGTCCTCTGTGTGTGGACATTCCCTGTGCACATCCTGCTGCACACACCCTTCTTCTCTTTGTATGAAGTTTAAAAAAAAACCAACCACCACTTATCAGACAGTATCTACAAAACTGTAACAAAGCCAGATACATTATAATAAAAGCCAGAGACCCTGGAAATAATTACACAGATTGAAACAACAGATTGGTTGGAAGAAATGGTTGGAGACAGTTCTTCAGGACTGGCAACATGTGCTTCTCGCGAGTTCAGAAAACTTTTTATTTCTCTCCACCTCTCCAAATGTGTTTGAATTATGCATATTTGAATTTCCCCCTGGTTTCACAGCCCAGCACCAAGCTCTGAATAGCTGGTTGTGTCACATGCCATCTCATATAGTCTCTGGGCTCCGTGTGTGGTCCCCGTGGGATAAAGTGCTACCTTTTGGAAGTTTGCAGAGCAGCTGTGAACAGTGCCTTGTGTCACAAGCACAAGCCCCCATTTTGCTGTGGCAAAGAACATATAAATAGTCCTTATAAATAGTGTTTTAAAATTAAGTTGGAGCGGCACCGGGGTGGGTAGGTAATTAGAATTGCCAAATACCTTCTCTTCTGTGGACGGCAAAGGCTCCACATTCCTCGAAGGGGAGCACAGGCAGGCGTTTGAAAGCACAAGTTTTGTTTGGTTTTATGTTTTTTTGCTGAATAGGACCAGCACACGTCTATTTACTACTTCTGGTTAATCAGGAATGCTTTGAATTGTATTAATGCCGGCATCAGCGCCGGGGCACGGAGCATTTCCATTTTGGGATGCATCTTTTGTGCGCCAGTACTGGGCCTCCACAGAGCTGTGTCAGGCCCAGCTTTGCAGGGATTTTTTTTTTTCTTTTCCTTTTTAAACGTGGTGTGCTTGTTTTTTATATATGTAAAGATCTGATGAAATGATCTTGCTGTCATCTCAGGGCCGGTCTGTTTTGGCTTTATGGACTTGTGTCCCTGATGCCGTGCAGTGCTGCTGCCTTGCCCCAGCATCCTGGCAGGAGCAGTGTGCTGTTACCAGCCCCCCTGCCCACAGAACTACTCTCTCTGGGCTGCCTCAGGGAGATAAGGCTTTTTTATCAGCCTGCCCTTCCCTCCTGCTTTCAGGAGATTTTGTGGAGTGTAGGAGCTGCTGTGGGGCAATTTAAGTATGGGGAATATCCCAGTGTCCATCGCAGCAAGGGAGACAGAGAGGTGCCCAGCATGTGAAATTTCCCCCCCTACACCCCTACATCTAAAGGGGAGGGTGAGGGGGTGTCAAACCCCACCCAAGTCCAGATGGATAAGTTGAATGCTGTACTTTCAAGCCATTTTTTAAACAGCCTGACAAAACCAAGCCATCACCTGCATCAGTTCCTGAAAGCCTGAGCTAATTTGTGATCAAAGAAAACCCCTTTTTCTTTGCAGAAGAGCACTAAATGCATTCCAGTTACAGAGGGGGGCTGGCAACACTGTGCCCAAGCTTTGTCAAAAGCTAAATAGTACATTCTGCATTGAAACATGCCTGGTTTAATTATAAACAAGGCAGCAACAGCAGGCAGGCACGTTTCCCCACTAGTCAGGGCAGACAGACTTGCACGTAAGCCTTGGAGATGAGCTCAGGTCAAAACTGGTGGTGTTTGTCATCAGACATGGACAATGGGGCTCCTCTCTGGTGCCTCCTCTGGGTTCAGTTCCTAATAACCTATCAGATCTGGCTGCCCCAGTGATTTTAATGAGCTGCAAGTCATATTGGCAGGATCAGGCTTGGAAATGAAAGGCATCAAGACTGGACTGGAGAGTGTAAGACTGAAACAGAGAAGACATTTGCTTTATTTTCATTTCCAGAACTGAAGCTTCTTCTGCGGCCACTTAAAACAGTTATGCATTTTCAATCAAAATAAAAACAACTGTTCGGTGTTTAGGGAAAAAGCTGATGTGCTTGTTGTGGCAGCATAGAAGAGGAGAAATAAACCCATTGCTTAAAAGTCTGAAGTTTGTTTGATTTATATACACCACTTTATTTAGTAAAGAAGAGGCTCCTATAAGCAGTGGAAAAAATTACAGCTAATTTCTGAAAGGCAAAGTCAGCAGCGAGTTTCAGACCGCCACTGCTTATATTTTGTTTCCAAATTCTATTTTGGAATCTGATAATTGAAACAGTATTTGCTGAACCGGGTTGCAAACACAAATCTCTGCTTAAGCCTTTTCTCTGGTGCTCCTGTCTGCAGAGTTAGTAAGAAACCATCGAGCCTTTGGGTGCTGTCAGATGGAGAAGGGGCAAACTGGTCTGTTTTTAAAAAGAAATCACATGTGTGAAGGGAAGGGAGCTCACCTGCTCGTGGTTTGGGGGCCAAAGGCAACTTCTTTTCACCACCCAGGTGCTGGGTTAGGTGTCTCACCACAGGGTGAGCCGGGGATGTCACCAGAGCTGTGCGCAGTCAATCCTAGCTGATGTAGGTGCGATGGAGCTGTTGTTTGGTTTACTGAAGTTCAGGTTTCTGTCTATTCCTGCAGTCTTGGATCAGTAAAAACGCTGAAGCCGATGCTAACCTAAATCTGTTCAATGTGACAGAACAAGATGAAGGAGAATATCTGTGTAGAGCCAACAATTTCGTAGGCATAGCCGAAAAGCCATTTTGGCTCCACATTCGCAAACCAAAACCAGGTAAACCACAGACTCTGTCCCAAGGCCCTGGCAACTGCAAGAATGAGCTATAACATTTTTAAGAATCTAGTGATTAAAATTACTATTCATTTTGTATTATACCCTGTCAACTGATGCTGAATGGCTTTATCTTATTTTCTTGCTAATTTTTTTTTTACAAGACTGTAACGCCTATACAGCAATTGCCATGGAAAAATTCCCACAATAAAATGACTGTCAAATTTTGCTATCAACTCTTCATACTTTTATTCCTTTCCTTTCCTTTCCTTACAATTAAGTGCTGATAACAGAATTGCATGTTAATGACCTGTGACGTTCCAAGCTCTGGAAAACCAAACTGTTTTGAGTTTTTCACCTACAAAACTGAATTAGTGAGTTCTGTCCCTTGGAGAGGTAATGGAGAGATAAATATCGATATTGGCTCATGCAGGCAAACGTGTTAACTAGAGAGGAGAACCAATCACTGGGCTCTGGGGTTTGACTCCAGCCTGGAGGGTTTGACTGCTGTATTATTTGGTGCTGCTGCAGGAAAGTTCCTTACAAGCACCCTCTGGTTATCAGCCAGATTTCTACTGCAGTGTTGAGGTCTGTGTAATCAATATATGGCTTTGAGATTACCACTGAAGAAATTCTAAAAAATTCAATAGAATTCTAAGAATTCTAAATTCTATATTTTCAATGAACTCATGAACCATAATGTTTGTGTATTCCTCTGATCAGCACTTGAATCTTTCCCCACTACATCTCCCCTCCTTTCCCCTTTCTTTCTGTCTGTCCTCATTTCCCATCTCTCTTTCCCTACCCTGTACTCACCTCACTAACCCAAAGTCAGTCATATTGTGGGGGCAATTTTTCATTTGGATGCTTTTGCTTGCATGCTTCTTTAGTGGGACAGAGTAAGAACCTGGTGAAGGGAACTTTTTTTTTTTTGCTTTTGACTACAGGTTGCAGAGGGGAATGAATAAATAAATGCGGAAGATGGGCCATTGGAAAAAAAAAAAAACACCTTAATCTGCTTTTGAAATTTGCCTGTGGTGTCCTCACACTTGCTGGGAATGTGGCTTATTCTCTGTTTTCCCTCTTTCTATATGTGTGTGTTTTTTTTCCCCGTAGACGGCAGGTGTTAACACAACGGATAAGGAGCTAGAGATTCTGTACTTGCGAAATGTTACTTTTGAGGATGCTGGGGAATATACTTGTCTCGCAGGGAATTCTATTGGGTTCTCACATCACTCTGCTTGGCTGACGGTGCTACCAGGTATTTCCTTCTGTGCTGGCCTCTCCTTCCCTCTCCAGGATGCCTCGATGTTTTGCTTTGGAAATGCCAAGTTCCCGGAGGCTGCCCCTTGCTTGGAGCAGGGGTGTTTTCTAGGGAGGTCTCTTCTCTGGGATTTGCCGCAGACCCCTGTTGCGTACTTGCAGCTGACTCTTTTTGCATTGCATCTCAAAATTTAAATGATTGCAGTAATGATACAGTAAAATACACAGAATCTTTTTTTTGTCTAATAACAGGGAGGTATTCACAGCCTCTTTGTTAGGGCTGTTAAATGCCAAAATAAGGAGCTTTGTCTTCTTACACTGACAGAGGGAGAAGAAAACCTTCCCATCAGATGATCCAGGGCACCTAAATTGGACATGATCATCTTAGGAAGGATCCTTTCTGTCTGACCTCATATCTTAACCTAAAATTAGATGCATAAGTGTCTGGTGTGAGTACACCCTTCCCTGCCTGTAGCATTATTTCCACTTCACGGATGAGCAGGCCAAGATAGCGATCTCAAACAGAAGGTCAAGGAGAGTCATCTGTAGGCAGAGCACAGGAGTCCTGGCTCCCAGGGGCATTGCATGCTGCCTGCTCCAGCTGGGATCGATGAAAGCTGCAGTGGGCTTGAAACCCGAGGCCAGAGTGACCTCAATTTTGTGGCCCTTTCATGTGCAAAGCTCTTATTGACAATGAAGCCAGCACAGAATGTGCAATAGAGAGAGCTGTTCTGCAAAAGGGGGAATGAGGCTGTGCTGCCCCTTCACCTGCTGAATCTGCCTCTGGCTGCAGGGCAGGCTTGAGCATGGTCCAGGGAAGTACCAGCAGTATTCATATCAAATCTCGTGTGTGCTGTGCCTTGCAGACAGTGCAGAAGCAAACCTTGAGTGTTCAATACCCCTCTGCTGAAAAGGCACCCAAAATTCTAAAGAGCCCACTTTGATTCACCCAGTCGTAGACCACATTTGGGTCCATCTCACAACACATCAATCTCAGGATGTGTTTAGGAGCCGGGAACTTTGGCATTTCTAATCTTGACTTTATCTGTGCAGGTGATTTGGATGTAATCACTTTTACTGGGGCTTAAGAGGGTCTCCTCCATGCCCAACCCTGCTGCCAGTGGGATCTGCTGATCTTTCCTGTTTATTTGCCAGCTCTGTAATAGCTGATCTGATCCTGTTTCTGTTTCTGACAGCCACTGGATGAGAAAACATTTCCTTTGGTTAGAAGACTAATGTCTCTGTTATTTTCAGAATATCATGATATTGTCTCACCTGACTCACACTCTGCTTTTACAGTTTATGAATTCACACCTCTTATTTAAGCAAAAAATAAGCAGGAGAAAATACACCAAAAATCGAAAAGTAGAACTTTATTTTGAAGTCAGATGCAGTGAAGGACAGCTATCTGTGCAGCAGCAGGCCCCCACAGAGAGGGGTGCAGGATACAGCCCATCTGGGGAACTTCAGCTTGCAATGCCCTGTCCATGCTACAGGAGGAGGGACAGGGAGCAGAGCAAGGCAGCTGCAGTACGAACCACAGTTCCTGATCCCAGCAGATCTGGTACTCCTGTCTTGTGCGAGGATCAGGCACACAGGCTGGAGCAGCCCCCACTGTCACCAACAGCCCTTTCTCCATGTCCTCCTGGGCTCTGCCACCAAATACTTGAAACAGAGCCTGCTGCTGCCAGGGAAAGGCTCCTGCTGCTTGCTGAAGGGACTGCTCAGCAATGGACATGGCCCATTACTGAGCTAACCACACCAGCATGACTTCATCATAAAGCTTCCCACTGCTGACTGTCCCTCTGATGCCAGCACACCTTTGGGGGACAGAAAATCAGTCCCACCATGGCTCCTTCCTCTGGTCAACATGCCTGTCCTGAAAGGAACAAGGGGGAAAACACAGCTGACCTTTGCTGGTCTCTAAGAAGTCTTGCAAGCAGGTAGCCACTGCTGATAGGCTCATGCCATCACCCTCCTGGCTGTCCCCCCTCTCTGGGACAGACCTTCCAGCCTCTTCCCAGCAGAACAAAGTTTTCATTAAATAATTAATCAGATTTTTCTCTTGAGACTTTCTCACTCTCTTCCTGTGTGATGTCTTACTGCTGGGTGCTGTTCTAGCCCCTTGGTCCCTCAGGGCAGGCACTGGTCTGGTGGAAATGTTTGTTGGAGAATCTGAATCAACAAAGTGCAGCAAACCCCAGTCCTGCACATCCAAGGCATCCAGACGCCTTGTGTGGATTTGTGGAGAGAGCAAGATCCTGGTCAGAGGGACAGCACAGACGTGTGAAGATGCCTTCAGCCTAGAGCAGTGGTTTTCAATCTGTGGGCTGGGGACTCTTAAAAATTCAAAGTAAAATTACCCCAAAAAGGGCAAAGCCAACTAATGTTTTAGCTACAGCTGCAGGTGGAAAACCACTGGCCTGGGAGAGTCCCCTGACTGAAGTCACTGACATTGACGTAGCTGAACAAGTCCTGCCCAGATTCTCTGTGCTGTGTGTGTAGTTGTGTGTGGGCGACTGCCCAGCCTGTCCTGACTGCCATCTCTTGTCACCCTGCAGCTGAGGAGCTCATGGAGATGGATGATTCGGGCTCAGTGTACACTGGCATTCTCAGTTATGGCACTGGCTTTTTCCTCCTTCTCCTGGTGCTGGTCTTGGTGATTGTCTGGAGGATGAAAATGCCAAACAAAAAAGCCATGAACACCCCCACTGTTCAGAAAGTCTCCAAATTCCCACTCAAGAGACAGGTAACAGAAAGTAGATACAAGATTCCTATTCCCCTCTATGGTATCCCTCTTTTTGTTGGTTTTTTTTTTTTTCCCCCTCCTCCATCTCTTTGAAATTCTCTCTCTAGGTGAGAAGTTCCATCAGAAAAACATTGCCTAAGAGGGACATAATTTGGCTGCACCTAGAAGTGTAAAATAAATAATATTTTATTTATTTCTATGCCCATGGAGCTTTGGCAAAGGTGGCAGCTGACTGGTTCGTGAGCAGCCCCCACTGCTGTTTGCCTTGCCCAAGAGGTTTTGGCAGTGCAGCTGTGAGTGCCACAAAAAGCACATCTGGCAGGGGAAGTCTAGTCCAGGCTCCCTGGAGGAGGAGGGATTTGGGGAGAAAGGGTGGTGCTCATTCCTGCTTTCACAGATGTCACTGGTGAGCCCAAAGTTGTTCCTGTGGTGGTAGCAAAGGTCCTCTGTGAAGTAAGAGATGTTCTGCTGCATGAAATTGCAGAGGGGCAGGACCAAAAGACATCATGTGAAACCCCACAGTGAGGGGTACAGATTTCAAGCTTTGGCTGCAAGCTCACGGTGGGCAGTGACATTCCAGGATGGGGGAAGTCACTTCATAGCCTGCATGGGCTGTGGAGATGCAGTAGAACAACTGGATGGATTGTACCTCCTGATGCTGGAGGGCACTGGCTGACTTGTCCCTCCTTTCCATCTGCTGAACACTTGACCAAAGTGCCTAAACGAGTGGATTTCTGCAAGGGTGGGGGCATTTCCCAGTTAAAAATTCCCAGAAATCTGTCTGTGGGCCCAGAGAGCTCAAACCTCCTCAGTGATCCATCTCAGGCACGGCCTGCCCTGCAGATACAGTTGGCAATAACACTTCATTTGCTCTACCCAAGCAGGTGTCGCTGGAGTCCAACTCTTCCATGAATTCCAACACGCCCCTGGTCCGGATCACGCGCCTCTCCTCCAGCGACGGGCCAATGCTGGCCAACGTTTCCGAGCTGGAACTACCTCCAGATCCCAAGTGGGAATTGACACGGTCTCGGTCAGTCAGAGCCACGGGTTGGGATCTCTGTGCCTGCTGGGAGTGTCCCCACACCAGGACCCCCTAACATTCCTGTTTGTTCCTCCTGCAGCCTGACCCTGGGGAAGCCGCTTGGCGAGGGGTGTTTTGGCCAAGTGGTGATGGCAGAAGCAATTGGGATTGATAAGGACAAGCCAAACAAAGCCATCACAGTTGCTGTCAAGATGTTAAAAGGTACGGGGAGTCCACAGAGGACAGAACAGCATATTGTGCTGGGATTTCCTCTCTTTGCCTCTCTTTTAAGTCTTTTATACAAACTAGATACAACAGAAGAAAGCAGGAACAGCCTTTTTCCCCTTTACCCACATAGCCTGGGGGTGAGGGCTGTCCCTGGAGAGCAGGCAAAAGTGCAAATCCCATCAGGAAGAGGGACTGGGAATTAACCCAGTTCTCTGCCAAGGGGTAATAGCATCCCTGACAAGAAGGGGAATCCCCCTCACTTCTGGCCAGCTCCACGAATCAGCCCACTCCTTACTCCTCCCCTAACCAGCGCTGCCTGATCTACCAAAAGTTTGTGCAGCAACCTCAGATGGAGTTCGCGGAATTTTAGCTGGAAAACTCCTTCTTGAGGAAATTTTTCATTGAAGAACCTTGGTCCCAGACACCTGAGAAGTTAAGAGGGAGACAGAAATGGTGCCTCTGGATAAGTCTCCATTTCCCATCCTGCCCCCACCACAGACAGCTGAGGAGTTCACCTGGAGCAAGCAGGGCAATGAGCAGCCTGGGCTTGAGGTTACATGGAGGGACATTGGGAACAAAAGTAATATTTCTTATCAGAAACAGGTTTGTTTAATTTACATTTCCTTCAGTCTTTTCTGAAGCTGGTTTTGCGAGTAGGAGCCTTTCCATCTTTCCAAAACCAAAACATTCCTTTGGGGAGTTTTGCCAATTTTTCTACTTTAGTAGATAGGTTTTTCAATTTTTGTAGAGAAATTGCAACTTTCCATCCAAAAAATACATTCCCTCCCAGCCCTGACCTTCCACCATCATTAACTGCCGACCCCTAGAGATGAGGGACAGAAACTATCAGCAAAGCAGGTACCAAAATGTGAATTTTTTTTCTGTAATACTTGTGAGGATGAAACAGAAAACAAAAGGCATTATTGATTTCCATATGAACATTTACCTCCACTTATTTGTTCTTTTGTCTTTTTTTGTTGCCATGGTAGGAGGTTTTGTTTTTATTTTGATTCTTCTTCCCAAAGTAGAATAAAGCCAATTACTGCCATATTCTGAGTATTGTTTCGCCATCAAAGCCCCACATGGCTGCACAGTTGTAACTACACCTCTAAAAACTTACTTTCTTCCTGACATTTTTTTGCATTCCTCTTCTGCTTTCTCCAGATGATGCCACAGACAAAGACCTTTCTGACCTGGTCTCTGAGATGGAAATGATGAAAATGATTGGGAAGCACAAAAACATTATTAACCTCCTCGGTGCCTGCACGCAGGATGGTATGTAGCAGAGCAGCCCGGGACTAACAGGGTCGTGGGAAGCTCAGATTTTGGCCATCCCTTCTTTGCAATTACTGGCTGCCCAAACTGGCCCAGAGGAGATTTGGGTGGTGAGCTCTTCCTCTGCTGGAAGCTGATGTGCTCTTCCTTGCAGGACCACTCTATGTGTTGGTGGAATATGCGTCAAAGGGGAACTTGCGGGAATACCTCAGGGCACGTCGCCCACCTGGCATGGACTATTCCTTTGACACCTGCAAGCTGCCCGAGGAGCAGCTGACGTTTAAGGACCTGGTTTCCTGCGCCTACCAGGTGGCACGGGGCATGGAGTACTTGGCATCTCAGAAAGTGAGTTGAGAAACCTCATTCGGTAGAACCCTTGGTCAAAGCCACGTGTTCAAAGTCAGGGAATGCTCAGAGTGCAGGACAACCCCAGGCAAAACATTGTAGGCTTCTCCTTCTAGAGGCCAGATTTTTTATCTTGGGGTTTTGAAGGTGGAGGCTTCATCCATATGCAAAGTCCCCATGTGCTGGCTGCATTCCTGAACCACACAGCTGTACAGCTGTCACCTGCAGGACCATTAGCACCCACAAAACGCCTATAAAATCACCAGCCACCCAGACCATTCTGTGAGCCTCTGTATTTGGGATACCTTAATTTGGAGATCCTTTCCCCCTCTTCCTGGGGGAAGCAGCACAGAAAAGCAGCTGCACATCCCAGGGGAGAGGAGTTTGCTTTCTCATCCGTACATCCCATCCGGAGAGGAAAGGCGCGTGCGTGGCCATGCCGGCTCCGAGGCCACCAATTAGGTGTTGCTAAGCGGTGGTTCCCACTGAGCAGGCACGGTGGGGTGGTGACACACAGAGCCAGGAGCTGAGCAGTGCCCACAGCTTTACGAGCCTGGGAGTCAATGAAACAGCAGCTCATAAACCACAGGGTGCTGCGGGTTCCAGGCGCGAGCAGCTAACGAGCCCGTACTTATTGGCTTGCTCACCTTTCACAGTGCATTCATCGCGACTTGGCAGCCAGGAACGTGTTAGTCACTGAAGATAATGTGATGAAAATAGCTGATTTTGGCCTCGCCAGAGACGTTCACAACATTGACTATTACAAGAAAACCACCAATGTAAGTACAGAGCTGCCAAGCACACGCAGTTCTCCTTCTGGCAGGGAGCTCGGTCATCCCTGCAGCAAGAGACCCTTGTTCCACATCTCCCTTCCTAGAGGGGCTTAGGAGGAAGAAATCTGACAGGGACTTCACCTGGTGAGGAACTGTAGATGGGCTGGTTCCAGGAGTCTATCCACCATCTGTTTTTTTCCTGACAGATCCTGGTCCTGCTGGCAGCTGGTTGTGAGGTCTCAGATCTGGCCAGGATGCTTTAGACTAAGAGAAACTGAGGTTTCTCCCAAAGAGGAATGGAGCCCTTTCCAATCTGCTCCAGTACTGTTCATAAAGGTCCCAAGGAGCTAACTTCTGTCTCACCAGAGCCCTTGACAGAGGAATGTCATTTCTTGTATACCTGGATCTACCTGTCTTTCATGTATTTCTCTCTTTTTTACATTTGAGCTTCTTGGCTCTACTGCCAAGAGTGAGAAGATGGTCCCAGATAAGAGCTGAGGCCTGGAGTTGTTTATATTTTCTGTAGAGATGAATTTACAAAAGAAGGACTGAGAGAATAAACCCTGTGTCTTGGTTCAGAGCCTGCAGCAGATGTTGAGCCCTGAGGAAAAACCTAACTAGGACGGAGTGAGGAGATGGCAGAGGAAGATTGAGGGCAGTGCAGAACCTGCAGGTCCTGGGATTGCAAGGGGTTTAAATATCCAAGCAGTCCTTTGAAGTTCACCATGTCCATAGTGATCCACTTCAATAGCATATCAGAAATCTTCCTTAATTGCCAGGATTTCTTAATCATAAATTAATAACAATTTTTGGGAATTTTAATCACAGATCAGATGGATTTTTCCCTGTTTGAGCTGTGTGGAACAACTGAGAGCATAATCCCATTTGTATATCCTGCCTGTGTCTCATCTCTAGTTGTCTCCCACAGTGAGACAGTGGGTGAGGAGAGGACAAAGTTCCCCCATATCCAAATTATGGTTCAAACACAAAACAATGCTTTTTGTCTCCCTCCAGGGGCCAAACAAAGCCCCAGAGAATTATGATTAATCTAGTTTTTCTCATCCTGTATTTCTCATATGACAGTCTGTGTTTATCACCCTGATGTAGGATGGGATCAGACCTCCTCCTTTAGCCTCCAGCAGGATCAGGATTTGTTTCTTAGAGGACCTGGCCCTTGCCTTCACTCTTTGGAAGTTTCCCTTAAAGCTGAGCCTAAAGTGGGTTTGGACTTGGAGTCAACTGTACTTCCCAGACAAAAAGATGGAAAGTGTTGTCCCATGCTCTGCCACAGAGTTCACTGCATCTGTGAGCCTTGGATGCTGTTCCCATGCAAAGATTTAGATGCACTGATATGTTAAACCTGCCTTGGCAGTGAAATACAGTCCTTTACAGAGAGCATTTACTGCAGAGATTGTCAGTGAAGATCCAGGGATCAAACGCTCTAATCTGTTTATATGTGGCCACTGCTGCTTTGCCCGGTGACCGGGAAGGCAGATGTGGTTGTTAATGAAAATGTTTCAAACTGGATTAGAAAAGAAGATTCAGATGGTGCCGTTGTGGCTGGGGGAATATGCTGATGGGATGTTCCCATTGTCTTCCTAATTACAGGGTCGGCTGCCTGTGAAATGGATGGCTCCAGAAGCCTTGTTTGACCGGGTCTATACTCACCAGAGCGATGTGTAAGCAAACCCGCACTTAAAAAAAAACCAAAACACAACAGAGAAACCAACACCTATAGTATCTTACAGACAAAAGTACTGCTAAGCATGACCAGGGCTTGTTCCCTGCTGGAGTGCCTGGGGATGCACAAGTACAGGAATTGATTCCAAGCTGCATCTTCACGCATGTGGTTTTATTTTGCTGTTATCTGGTTGCTTTTATCTGAGGGTCTCTAGGGAGCTGCTGAAAAATTACTGGAAAGCAGGCAGATATTTCTTCCACTTTATAGATGAGGTGATTCATCCAGCAGTTGAAAAATATTGTGCCGAAAAAACCTCACGAGAAAAATAATTACCCTCGGTGTCCTCCACACTTTGCCCCAGACTGCTACACTTCAGTCAAGGATGTGGAGCAAGCTTGAAATATTCTGTCTCTTGTTAGAATTGATCAAAGAATGTTCAACAAATATAGTGTCAGGTTAATTTTGCCATTTCATTTATTTTCTTTATTTTTTCTAATCCTGTCTCATCTGTCTTAGTGCCTCTGCACAGTAACCAAACAGCAGAGCGCTCCTTACTTGTACATCAGTAACACATCTGAATTTTGCAAGGGCTGAAGCAGCTCCACATACACACTAGCTTTTTATTGTAATATTTGATCAATAATGGCATTTTTATAGCTAGCCTGCCTTCTCCCCAGAGCTCACTGCTTGCAATTGGACAAACAAGTCCTTTCTATTTCTGTATTTTTCAGATATTTTGGCTTTTATTAATCTTAAATCATAGTTTCCTTGCTTAGGTAATGCTGCAGAGGGCATGACAGATAAATCAAAGCTAGAGAATGGGAGAGTGAGTGTGTGTGAAGGCAAAACAGAGACAGATAATCCCTGTTTTTAGAAAGAAAATGAAGAAGGCAAAAGATATTTTTGAAAAAAAGGACTTTTAACCAGAGCACAGCTGCAGGACTGAAGTGTGTAACATTAGTGCTCTGCTGATTTTTGTTGGGGTATTTTTCTCCCAGCTTGGCCAGTGAAATGGGTGTTGTAACAAGCAAGTTTTGGTATCAGCTTGCACAATTAGTGGCCTGTGGTTCCAAGCCTGCAATTCAGTGAAGCCGTGCATGAATAATTTGATTTGTTCCATTCAGTGGAGCTGGTGGAAGACCTAACAAAGAGCTGGCGGTGATAGATGGGCTGTCACCTATCTGATTAAATGCTCATTTCAATTTCAGACTTGGTGCCTGGGATTTCTTTGCTATTGAGTTGGATCAGCAGAGATCTCCAAGTAACTAGTAAAAATGGCCTAGGCAATTAGTCATGCTATTGATGACTTTGTTAGCTATGCATGGCTGCACAGAAATAAAGCCAAGCAAGGGGGATGGGATATGGGGGGGCTTGGAAAAAAAATCTCATTGAATTTTAAAGATCTTTCTTTGGTTTCCAGCTGGTCTTTTGGAGTGCTACTATGGGAGATCTTCACTTTGGGAGGGTCTCCATACCCAGGAATTCCCGTTGAGGAACTCTTCAAGCTCTTGAAGGAAGGGCATCGGATGGACAAACCTGCAAACTGCACCCATGATTTGTGAGTGTGTGGTGGGGGCTGACCTTGCTGCACTCCCCATTCCCTCTGAGGCCAAATACAACCCTCTGGGATCTGGGCTGTTGGGACACCCCAACTGGGAAATTGTGTGGCCATCTCCAGGTAGGCTTTCCTCAGCCCAAGGCTGCTGAGTGACATGCAGCACTTCCCTTCGCTGGGCAGGTGGCACCTGGGGGTGTAGCTCTGGTGTGTCACCGTCCGGACAGCTCCTTCTCATGCTCTGAGGGCATGGTCATGTGTCACATGATCAATAATGAGGACCATGGCTCCACAAAACCCTGCTCTTCCCCCCGGCTGGCAGTGGCTGAAGTGGCATTAGCCACAGCGGTTCCTTCAGCAATTTGGAGATGGGTGAGCAGGTGGGTGGATTTCCTTGGGTGGTAGTGTCTGGCAGGAGCAGGGGATGGGAAACATGCAAGCAGAAGAAAGATATCTCACCAAATATGCAAGTGGGATTGGCACAGGAATTTTGCTTAAGGCCAAAGTCTGCATCACACTCCTCATCCATGGCTTGCTCCAGGTTGCTCAGGGTGTATAATCTCCAGAAAAGGCAGTATGGAGACGTGTTGTGCTGACATTAAAAAGGAGAATAAAGGGTGAATGATGCCTCTGCTTAACACTTGGCGATTTGGAGATGGGTGGGCAGCTGTCACTTGGCCTGACAACGCGTGACTGTGCCATGTCCCCATGTGCAGGTACATGATCATGCGGGAGTGCTGGCACGCCGTCCCCTCGCAGCGACCCACCTTCAAGCAGCTGGTGGAAGACCTGGACAGGGTCCTCACTGTGACATCCACCGATGTGAGTGTGGTGGGATGGGCTGGGAGGGGGTCACCTGCTCCCTGGCACGGGGGACACCCAGCACTGATGGCTCTGTCCCCCTGGCAGGAGTACCTGGACCTCTCGGTGCCCTTCGAGCAGTACTCGCCGGCCGGCCAGGACACCCACAGCACCTGCTCCTCAGGGGACGACTCGGTCTTTGCACATGACCTGCTGCCCGATGAGCCCTGCCTGCCCAAGCACCCGCCCTGCAACGGCGTCATCCGGACGTGAGGACCCCCAGGGCACACGGACAGACAGACAGACGGGCAGACGGACGGGCGGGTGGGCAGTGTGCCCGTGGAGGCACGAGCGCGGGGCGCCGAGCGTGAAACCGTACTGAAGGATCTTCCAGTGGAACTGTGTGATGGTGCCTGGAGATTTGTGTTGTTGACAAGCTGTTCAGGGTAAAAAAAAAAAGAAAAGAAAGAAAAAAATTTAACTTTTTTTTTTATAATTTTCTTTTAAATTTTTTTTTTCCCCTATTGCTGTATGAAAAGTCAAGAAGCACTGTTTGGCCTGAAGGAACTAATCTCTTGCCAAGATGATCTCTGTCCTAGATGATTTTTTGTTTGTTTTGTTTTTTGTTTACTTTCCATTTTGTTAGGGATTTTTTCTTTACTACGCAGAATGTTGAACCTGGGGGGTGCTGACCTCCCAGCCTCCACGCTTGTGTTCTGAGTGCCACAGTAACCGTTCTGTGCCTGCAATACCAAGAAAAGAGAAAAAGAAATCTTCCTTTAAAAAAAAAAAAAAAAAAGAAACACACGCAAAAAAGAAAAAAACGTTAAGAATGTGGAAACTCTTCGCTTATGCAATCTGTACATGAACCTTTTTGGTGGAGCTGAAAAGCCACGTTGCCTGCAGGGATTCATATATTTATAAAAATATCTATATTTTTGTTGTCGTCGTTTTTATAGCTTCGTGATCGTACTACCCAGCTACATAGAAGGAATCCTTTTTGGAAGAAGAGAAAGCTAAGTAAAATGCAAATTGTCATGGAGAAATGAAAATAAAAATAGTAAAAAGAGATGGTCAAGTCATCTGAAGTGTCAGCCTTGGCCCTTGCTCGGGGCTGGGAGCGACCGGTCCGTGCCAAGGCAGGAGCAGACCCCAGGCATGGGCAGAGACCCCGTGGGGTCCCTGGGGAGCAGAGCATCACCCTCCTGAGAGCAGAGGGTGCCCTGACACCTGGCTCCTGGAGCCCACACGGCATCTCAAGTCACACCCTGACCTTTGAGAACGGCCAGTTGGGGGAAAAAAAGGAACAAATCTCGTTTTTGGGGTTTGCCTGTTCTTGCTTGCCAAGGGTGAGTGGGGGGGAGCAGCTCCCCCACCCACCCCTCGACGCCAGAGGTTTGGCTCCAGCTACGTGCAGTGACTTGGAGAAAGAAGTTACGGGTACCTGTAGGCAAGAGCCTTTAACTTATATCAAAAAGGTTTATTCCAGAGAATCTGTGTATATATCTATAAATATATCGTGTATATATATAAATAAATATATTAAAAAGAAAAGAATGTATAATACTAATGCAACATAGAGCAGTACTGAGAGAGAGAGTCTCAAAATACGAGCATTGCAATCTAGGATATACTGATCTGGGCAAAAGAAAAGATGTTTTTGATTGTTTGTTTTGTATCTTCACAGTTTTGTTTTAAAAATTGTACCTTAACATGTATATTTGTAAAGTTATTTATAGACATTAACATATCTGTTCATTGGTTTAAATAGCATAGCGTTACTGTAAACTTTAAATTTCACCAAACTTAAGGGTGGTTTTTTTTAACTTATTAAAAATGGAGAAAAAATATATTAATCAAGTTTTTCTTTTGTGTTTATGGGAAATATTGAAAGAATGTATAGATGTACAGTCCTTTAACAAATCACATTTAATGTTATAAATATATATATGTATTCATTAAAAAAATATTAGTTTATCCTGGATTGCAGTGAGCAAAGGTAAGTTTATTTTTCAATACATCACCAGTGGTTAAAACCAAACAAATAGCAGCAGAGAGATGATTTTTACATATTTCAGAAAAACAGGGCCAAGAATTCTTCCATCAGTTTAACCACTGTGCATTAAGGGGGTGTGGGTGTTTATTTTTCTATTTTCAAATGAAGGTATTCTTTGTGGTCGATTTAATAACAAGTATGCAGCAAAGTGAAATGTTGACTTTGGATGGTGCAGGGTAGGTTTTTTTCTCTCCCCTTTGCCAGTACTGTTGTATTTTGGGCTTCAGAAATGCCATGTGAGCAAAATAGTGACACTGTTTGCAGGAGAGCTGCTACAGCTGCATATTTCTTTTGCATCTAACACGTTGGAAAGTGCCAGTGATGCCTGATTTTTGGTGTTTAGAACGCTATGCTGTTTTGTTCCTCAATGCCACATAGCTGTGTAAAAGCACAGGAGTGACCTGAAGAATGTTAGCATGGATCAAGCTGACAGTGGGGGATGTTTGGGCTGAGGATTTTTTGTGGGTGGGTTTTTTGGTTTTTTTTGGTTTTTTTTTCCAGATGACTTCTTTATGTACTACCAGAAGAGGCAAAACAAATTACATCCTGAATTCTTTCTTTTCATTTTTCTCTGGTGCATATTGCATATCAATGTTGCAGAATAACAGGATGACAACATCTCATTTAAAGATTTTTTTTCTTCTTAGAGCCACAGAATCCTTATCCTAAAATAAATAATTTATAGTTTGAGGTTACTTCAGTGGAAGTTTGAGAAGGTAGATTTCTATAGATTTTTGTTTTGTTGGAATAAAAAAAAAAGAATTTTTTGGTATTTTCTTACAAATGTCTGCTAATTGTGTACATTCCAAGTACTCGAAGCAAAGAGTTTTCCTGTACTGAAAAAAGAAAATGTACAAAACTGTGCATGGTTTTAAATGTTACTAGATATTATAAATATATATATAATTTATTGAGTTTTTACAAGATGTATCTGTTGTAGACTTGTTGACTTTAACATTTCTTATTCAATGCTTATATAGTTTTATAGCCTGGACTATTACCTTTAAAAGCTTAAAAAAAAATTAAAAGTTCCAATTTTGTTACATTTTATACTGTTGATGTTACAATCCACAGGTTTGCATAGTGTGATTTTTGCAATGAGCAACTCTGTTCAGTTTATTTTAATACTGTACTTCTGTGCCTGACAGCTGCAGCTGTCGCAGGTGTGAGATGAACACTAAATAAAACTATTCTGCTTTTGTTAACATGGGAAACTTACTTCTACCAAAAAAAAAAAAAAAAAAAAAAAAAAAAAAAAAACAAGTTGATAAATTTTGGGGTTTATTCCCAGTTGTGAGGGTCCTTTGCAAAACCAAGTGTTCCAGGCACTGGGACTTGTAGTGCCAGGAAGGTTTAATTTTTATAGTGCTGCTTTGAGAGTCCTGGCCAATTCAGGTTTTGTACTCATAATAAATTATAGCCAGTTTGGTTGAAGGGCAGTCTTCTGTATTTGTTAGTGGGTGTATTTATAGCCACACCAGCCATTGTGTGCACAGAGGTGTCAGCCCTGGCTTTGACTTTGGGGGGCTAAACAAGGGAACTCGGTAAAACCTGCTTGTGCTGGTTGATGCAGGGGATGTTGCAGCTTGGGAGACTTTGGGCCAATCCTCCCAGCACTTTCATAGAATGCTAATTCCTGGAAGTGACCCTGCTGAAATGCATCCCACACACCTGGATCTAGGCATGCAAGTTTCCTTACCTGTGTTCAGCCTGCCCACAGCAGCAAACCTTTGTGCTGTAAGCAGCTGGGCATGGAATGGCATGCATCCAGGGAGGTTATATCTGTGGCACTGGGATGGGCACCAGCACTGTTCCATCCTAGATTTTGAAAAAATATTAAAAATTACGTGGGGTTCAGGTAATTTCTTTGCCATGGTAAGAAAAGATGCTATTCTTTTAGCACCACTGTGCTGTGAGAGGAGTCTTGCTGCCTGAAATGAGTTGCTTCCATGCTTTAAGGACACACTTTGGTGGCCAGCCCTGAGCCCTGCCCCAGCAGGAGCAGCATGGGCCGGAGGACAAGCCCTGGCCATCCAGGGCTGCAGGCAGAGCGGAGCATGGCTAAATTTCCTTTTGCTGGCTCATGAGGAACTCACTTCGCCCTGATGAGGATGTTGTGCTCCATTTGCCGCCACCAGGACTGGAAAAGCAGGAGAGGGCCAGATCCTGCTGCCGTGAGCTGTGGTGTGTAGCACACCTGTGCTTGAAAGCTTTCCCAATAAAAGTCTGCTGGGCAAACAGCACAGAAGTCAAAGTCACAAAGAGGAAAGTCTGTCCTGGTGGCTGACCTGCACATGGGCTGGCTTGGTGTTTGCTTTCCCACTTGGGTTTCATGATGTCATTCTTCCTCTGCTGGCCTTCACCCACAGCCGTGTTTGCTTGTGGCCCAGGGAGGAGAGGGTAATATTTTACTTTTAATTGCCCTACAGTGCATCCAGTCCTAAGCCCCAGATGAGCATTTGGCTGCAGCGTGTGATGTGCATTGAACAATGCACAAAGCAACCTCAAGGAAAATTTTGCAAATTTACTTGGTTAGGCTGTGTGACTGAGTGGACATCCCACTGAAACTCATCTCCCCATCAGTGGCTGCAGCCTTCCACCCAAACCAAAATGCCCTTTACACATGAAAGTGTTATTTTTCAAAGTAAAACTAACGTCTTCTTTCCTCTGTGGGTGACTGCACAAATAGAGCCTCTCACTGGCCGTCGTGACCCGTTTCATAGCAACATTCAAATAAATTCCTAAAATTGTGATTTATTTCCATTGGTCATGGCTCCATGGCGAGACAGGGAGGATTTGGCAAAAGGAAGAAAAGTCTGAAGCCCTGCAATTGTCAGTAGGAGAAGGCAGCTAGAACCAGAACAGCAAAGTTTCCTGATGGTTGGTGCCATTTCAAACTCTCAAAGGAGATGTTTCCTACTGGTGACTCTTCTGAGCAAGTTCATCCCTCCCATGGGCTGTATAATCTCCAGAAAAGGGAATATGGAGACATGTGGTGCTGATATTAAAAAGGAGAATAAAGGGTGAATGATGGCTTTGCTCAGCACAGCAGAGCTACTAAGGACAGGAGGGCACGGAGGAAGATGCCAGGAGCTGAAGAACTTTCATGGGCTTTGTGGCCCAGGACCATGGGCTCACCAGAGACAGGGAAAGGATTTGTCACTATACCCTCTTTTTCCTTCACTTTCTCAGGCATGTTAGCTTTCACTTAGTTTCTCTGTTTCATAACCATCCTGTTGTTT